ACTGTATGCATTTTATAACAACTAATAATACCCTAATTAATATTTTTCGTTATTCTCATTGCTTGTCTGTGTGATATTGTATTGATATTGTGAGGAGAAATTCTGTCTTGGTCACACATAAGAGTTAAAGGGTTTAAGGATGTGGGTTATTAAAAATATTATAACTTTTAATTCTGGTAATTATCTGAATGTGAGTAACATTTGATGTTTTCACATCTAACAGGATGATCAAGCTGAAGATGGCCTCAAGAAGGATTAAACTTGGTTGTAACAATTAGGTGACTAAATTGGAAACTTGAGCACTTGGTAAATACACCTTGGCTTGCAATTCTGATGATTAAAGTTTGCTGGAGGTAATTGAAATTTGTCATTCCCCATGCAGGAACATTCCACATGACCTGTAAAGTCCTATGCACTGAGACAACTATAGAAAAATGCATTTGTGTTGGTAGAAGTATTGTAAGTATAGTACAACCTAGTAACAAAAATTAATAATTTCCTGTAAGCATGGATGTTTGAGAGAAATTATGGTGGTAATTGACCCTTTTTTGTTAGAATGCATAGGGTCTGATGATTGTAATGTACTATATCTTTTAGCCTTCAAACTTTCAACTTTGTATTAATTGTAACTGTTTACCATATCTATTTTTCTGTAACTTAAGCCCTCAAAAGTTGAAGTAGGTGAGTCAATAACCTGTCTTCCTTTGTTTGGAATTGTGTGATTATATAACTTTGCTGTGTAAGTTACCACATTGTAACATGCGATATTATTACTTACATTACATTAAATACTCTTGCTCAAGCTTTCATTAATGCATGGTGTTTCTTACCAATGCTCATAGCCAAACTAAATATTGATATAAGGAATTGGTCACAAGATATGTGAGTTTTAAATGGTGGGAATCTAGAAAAGCAAGCATCCTTTAATTAGGACTGAAATTAATGGGGACCCTCCTATTTTGATTTGTGTTTTTACTTAAACCTGCCTCCTCCCATGTAATGTTTAGGGCACATAGATGAAGAGAGCATTTTTGTATTTTGATGCACGAAAGTTAGATTAATTGGTGTCCACATAATGTACAAAGCAAGAATATGAATGCCTTAGCTTTAAAGGTTAAAAAATTAAAATAAGAGAGTTGCGTAGACCATATCTTAATTTTTATTCTTCTTTGGATATTTATCCAAGTAACATAATCACTATCAGTTTCATTCACTCTCACTTTCCACTGAGCTTGTGGAAAGATAAGAAGTTCATTATTTCTCTAAATGAAGAAAGGAAAGCCTACCCTCTTACCACAGATAATTCTTTTTTGGGAATAATCTGTACATACGTCAGTCTAATTTGTACATGATGGTGATTGTTAGGCTAACCTTGAAAATTAGTTGTGAAAATTTCTTGAACCTGTCATCATATGAATGTTTGACTCAATTTTACCTCACTAACCAACATGATTTAAATTGAATAAGTAGAAACTTGAAATTTATTTGTTCTCCTTTTGAGGTGTGCATCAAAATTTAGAAGTCATTGAGGCTTGAACTACAGGTTTAGAGGAAATCTGCATGTGTTTTCAACGCATAAAACAGGGGTTATGATACTTCAAATGACTTTACTACATGCTGCACATGTACAGGCAAGTGTTGAAAAAACTTTGCCAAGCTTTTTCATTAGTACACATTTCTTTTTCTAAGAATCATGTTCATCTAGCCTGTGCTGAATTCTAATTTTTCAACCAATTTTCTTTTCTATTAAATATTTTTAGATCTCCTAGTATCAGTTAATATTCATGTAATTAAAATAATTACATGAGATCTTACAGATGTATGGCAAATTTTTTCCTCTGATCCTCCTAACATTTTATTATGTGTAGGGTTTGGTATTGGCTATAAAATTAAAGTCAAATTAAAGTTTTGTGCACAGCTTATGCATCAAATTTATGTAATAAAATATTGCATCCTTCTCAAAACTAGTTCATCAAAATAAGAATGAGTTACCAGGCACAAGTATGGCTTTCACGATGATAGTTTCTAGGTTTGAAAAAAGTCACTGCCTACTAAAATCCTCAGTTCCTTTGCCCTGACAGTCCAACCTCATCAAAACATTGCCAACAGGAGCAATTAGCAAATTAATGATGCAGACAGGAGAGCCTATTCCCACATACACCTTCCTCAATCCTGTCAGCGTATTATGGACATGGCATTTCAGACATGGTGTATATGCCACAAATTTTCCATTTCCCTGACTAATTATTTTGTAATGGTGTTTAAAAGTTGTGGAAAATGGTTGGGTTGAAATATAATATGAAGACTGCTGGTAGATAGTCAAATGAAAACTTTTTACATATCAAGAAATTTATTGTTACGTTTCATGTTCACATGTTGCAACAACTCCAACTTCCAGTAAATTCAATTAATGGCAAACATGAGAAAATACCATCTAAAACTTTTCAACCTATTTAATACAGCCGATAACAACATCAACTCAGCTTTTAAACTAAAGAGAAAACTTGATTGATGTTTGGAATTGATTTCTGTGATGTGGAAATGAAATCCAGGTATTATCTCAAGTTTTCTTGAGGACATCCACATTATATGTAGTTACAGCAGAGGTTACCAAATTAAATAACAGAAAAATCAGAAAACGACTTCGTATATTTCCAACCAGGGGATAATCATGAAACAAGAATAGCCAAAAGCGAAATTACAGGTTCAAGCACGAGTTGAAAATTACTTTTCTTTTTAATTTTCTACGCTAAACAGAGGAGGTTGAAACGTTAGGGAAAAACGGTGGGGCAAGCGGTCATCCCCTGCACCTTCAAGAGAAGATATAAAAGAAGCCCATACGATTCTGGCGTATAGTTTTTCTAACTCACTGTGCTCGCGTGTATACACTTCAACCGGTCAGTGATGTCTTAAAGCGAAGTAGTTTACCATCGTTTCCCTCAATTTTGGCTCGTTTTCCCAAACCGAAATTATACGTCACATTCAATAGAATATAATTTCAACTGATGCTGACATCATACGCTTCATCGTAAGAAGAGAACATTCCCTATCTTCGAAAATTTGCTCAGAACACCAGGAACAACAACGAAAGTCCTAAATTGTTTTAAGATACCACTGCCTAGCAAGCTTGTTGATCGCTTTGAAAGTTGTGAGAACATCGTCCCCAGGTTTCAGACCTCGTCTAGTCTTTTAATCCACTTGAAAAAACTCTTCGACAGCGAGTACTGAAGAGTTTTATTGCAGTATTTGGTCAGTATAATGAAGGGCTGGAAAATAAACTAACAAGAGCTCCGCTTTTAGGCTTGGCTAAATCTATATATTATTCCTGGAGCCAACTTCGCACGGAGGTTATATCAGTTTTGAAGTGTTTATATCTAATAGTAGGTAAAATTTCCTAGCGTTTTAACACAGATAAACAAGTAAAAAAAAAAAATTAAACTTGGTACTCACCCATTGTTAATGATCTGATGGAATCCTAGGCTTTATAAGAATGGCTTATCTAAAAAGTGTTTCAATCATTAATAGTAGAAATTTATGACAGTTAATTTCGGCTAAACTTCGTTGCTGTATACTTTAAACTGATCAATATGACAAATGCCGGTGAATAAGCGAACTTCAACTGCTGGTAGAGAAGAATATTTCAAATATTTCCTTAAGTTAAAAATTGCAACATACTTCACGTATTTTGCCCATTTCTTGGTCAAATTCCTTGCGAATACTTTAAACTGATCAATATGACAAATGCCGGTGAATAAGCTTTTTATGCGAACTTCAACTGCTGGTAGAGAAGAATATTTCAGATATTCCCTTAAGTTAAAAATTGCAACATACTTCACGTATTTTGCCCATTTCTTGGTCAAATTCCTTGCGAATACTGCTGCTACATAACTGCATCGAGATTCAATATTGAAAGCATTTGGATGGTGTTGATGCTTCTACTAGCGATAACTAAAATTACGAGTTGCAGCATAATAATTGATGTTTATTTCGCAAACAGATGACTCAAACAAAGGACTTCTGTTATGTTAACTGACTTCACACCTTCGCGATTTAGCCGGCATTTTACTTATGTATAAATTCAGATAATTTAGTAAACTGTCGGGCTAGTTTTTACAAACCTCATCGTCTTTTCCATGAATTACATCTCTCGCCAACAAACTCTTCGGCGAAATGAAAGAAAATTGTGTTAGGTACGATTTCTAAGAACAGAAAAATGTGTTTCCTAGAAATTCCGGAAGTTGGTCAGAAATGATATGTCACGTGGTTAGTATTGTTTTCTCGGAAAACCATAGCACAACTTTTGCATACGTCCTTGCTTACCTTTGCTGAATATAAGCTAGCCCTCTGAAACAAAAGAAAAATGCACAAATGATACCTCGAGGAAATTTCTAGAGATGCTATAATCTTTGTTTGATGGTTTTGTGTGTTTTGTTTTTTGAAGGGGTTAGATTTGATCTTCAGGACGAATTTTTAGCGTTATTAAATAATTATATATCTTTTGGTCTCTAATGGCGGACGCGTCACTCAACTGGAGCACATATCAATAACTTTCAAGATGGAAAGTGTCGAGTTTTGTTGAAGGAAGTTTTTTCATTTTTCTTTAATTTTTCCATCTGTAGATATATTTTCTGGGTGCGCCAATATTTTGGAGACAGTTTGTACGCGAGTCAATATTAATAAAAGCAACCACATTTCTTTCGGGATGGTTCGCTCTGCGGGTAGCGGCTCGTCTGATCTCGTTAGACATAGACATGACGCCTTTCACTTCACTGTGATTTATATCATTCTGCGATGGAGAGTTAAACGAACGTGAAAAAGGATAACAAGAGTAGGAGCACCCTACTTACACAATCTAAATGGCTAACACCCATATAATCTAAATTTAGATCATTGGGTTCAAGCCGTCTCAAATGATAATCTAATAAGTCTTCCCAGTAGCTTATTAAATATGCATAAACATTTCGACCAATCAACTCCCTTCACTTCGGATTCGTAGGGGGGAAACCTTTACCGATTGGAATAGTTACGAACTCGCTAGCTTTTCTTGGTTTGGAAGTTCAGGTATTATCGGCTTTGTCGTGCACTTTTGGCGCTTCTTCGTTACTATGACCGACAAGGATACAAGTAGAGCTCGCAAAAGAACATATAATAAAATAAGCGATGTACAAAGGTCAAAACTACAAGAATATTATGACGGCGGCATGAAAACATGCGGTTCTGATAATACGGAAAAAATTGGAGTGGCAGCCGAGGAAACTGGGCTGACTATTGATCAAGTAAAGGTAAGATATTTTTTAGTTGGACTGAAACACTACCATGTTTCATGTATGTGGAATACCCCGCTACTTATTTGCATCTCGTTGAATAATAATAGCGATCATTATGGTGAGTGCTTCTTTCTTCAGAGCACACCGACATATGTAAATGATGTAGCGGTATATTGTCCTATAGAATTAATTCCCTTACTCTGTGTGCTGCATAAACGAATCTTTTTAAAGGATTGATTCTTAAACAGAATTTCATCCGTCATATACCGAAGTCAAGGAAGTTAACTGTACGATTGTACTATTCATAATGAGGCCTTGTGGTAATTATTTCCCTCGTTAATTAAAGTAGGCTTACTTTTTTTTTTGAAAATAATTGCTTTATGCAGTTTTATGCTCGAAAATACGCTTGCAGTGTGCAGTATAATCAATGATCAAGAATATGCCGGTAAAAGAAGATATGTGTTTACTCATCCGTTATTATAAATTTAAGAATATGTATTGTGTTACCATTACAAATATTGAGAGCTAACCGCAAGCAACCTTAGTTAAAAGTGGGCTAACCCGAGTGCTCTGTAGGCCAACAGAAGAGCTAGTTAGGCCAAACTGAGTGCTCTGAGGCTAACCAGAGTACAAGTTTGGCTAATTGGAGCTGAAAAGTAGGCTAACCAAAGTGTTAATAATAGGTAACCCATAGCTAACGATCGAATCCTGGTTCGAAGTTTAGGTATCCTCAATCTAGAGCTGTTAAATGTTATAATCACATCATCCATTCGACATACATGTACATACCAAGAAGATCTACCTTTATTGATTTGTTGCCAGCCAATCATTCTGTACTGGATTGAAAATTTGCTCTGTATACAAGCTCAGAGTTTCTGTGAGCAGCTTGCATGGGTATTATAGGGTCAGGCCCTGCCAGGGGGTTCCCTGTATTGCATTGCTTGTCTGAATTTAAAAACCTACGGTTATTATTATTTTGTCTTTATTTCTCCACCTTGTTGTTGCTGTCAGAATTTTGGTGAACAAGATCTTAATTTTTTCATACTTTCATATATATGCCACAGCTACTTTTTGGACCATGTCCCCTGTAGGAATTTACCTTGGCTGGGCCTCTATAGGGCCAGCCAGTGAAAGAGAGCAAAAAGGGAAGGGTTTCTATTGTAGCTTAAGGCATTTTGAAATACTTTATTTTAATGTGGTACATTTATGTAGAAATGGATTGGAAATGCCCGACAAAAGGAAAAGATAAATTCTGGAGTACAAGCAGCTCCAAAGCCAATTAAGATCCCAACTGGTTCACGTGGCTCACACTCCTACAACATGTTCTGTTCAGAGTATTTCAAGTCAGGTGAGAACCCTGATAATGTTTTCAAACACTAAGGACAAATTATTTACATGCATTATAACTATTATAGACCATGGCTAAAATATAGGGTAACATTAGAGGTGTACAGTCCTGGGGCATGGGTGTGCAAATCCCCCCAGTTTAAAAAATTTTCAAAGTCCAAAGGTGCCCATACGCCTATGGGTATCATTAATAAACCTCTACTAGTCTATTATTTCTAAGAAATGAATGTTGTGTTTTTCTCTGCTAACTGTGCCTGCTGGACATTTATTTTATTTTGGTGCCAGGATACCAGATTTAAATCAATAATGGACAGTGGTCTTGTTAAACTGTGTCTAAACCCCAGGGGGGGTACTTGCAGGGGTGGGGGTCTGACAGAGCTCTATATTGCAACCCAAAAGGGTTTTCATCCTCAGCTACTTTTAACCTTTGACACATAATAGAGTTGTTGATTAATTTATTTTCATTTTTAGTTGATGCAATATCTTTGATTGCAGAGGAAACTGAAAATCATGCAGTGACATTGTAATAATCAAACCAATTGAATTGATATTCAGTGGAAATGAAAGCTTTAATTTTTTTTTGCCAGATGAGTGCAAGATATTGTCCTTGGCTCAAAAGAACGAAGAAGCAGCCAAGAAATGGCGTGACATGACATCTGCAGAAAAAGATGCGTTCAAAGGAAAAGCAGAAAGTTTAAAGGTCCCTGATGTTTCAGAGCTTACTGAGGCTCAAAAATCTAAGTTGATATCAGTTCACAGAAAAAATCTTCTAAATGAGGTAAAGGTTTCAATCACTTTATGAAATAATCTCCAGCCAAGCTCAATTCCAATTAGGTAGCATAAACCATGCAAATTCAGAATAACTTAAAACTTTATTAAAAGTGGAAGAGTAATTTCTAATTATCGTACTCTGTGGGAATTAATGCAACATGCAGATGTTTGTGTCCTTTTGAGTAATCCTCGCGCCACATTTTACTTTTTCATCTGCTTCAGATCATGTTTCTAGAAGACTTGGGCTGTGAATCTTCTCTGATTTTTCAAGACACTTCAGGCCAAGTGTACAACTTTGGATCAAGTACAGGTTTCTCTTTCTTATGCCTGAATCCTGACATCAACATCAAATTCCGAGACCACTTTGGTATATATTATTACTTTGAATTAGTAATATTATAAACATTGAAAGTGTTCTATTGATTTGTTGGCATGCAACTGTATTAGCAGATGTTTATATAGCTTATACTATAAAGTGTGTCATCCAATTGACGAGATTATTCATGATTGTAAATAAGGTGAATACATCATCAAAATAGACCTGAAACTACATAGTACCTCTGTATTTATTTATTTAGCTTGCACCAATGAGAGGTACACATACAAAGATGTACAACAGCTATTCAATTCCAAATACAGTAAGTTTAAGAATATACATATTATTCACCATAGTACAGATGTTAACATGTAATTGTTGTCATCATCATCGTCATCATCATCATCATCATCATTATTATTATTAGCTATGATAATAACAACAAAGCTGATGATGTCTATAACAAAATCCTCAAACCTGATTGGTTCTGAACAGCGAATATTTGATCCTTAATCTGAATACTGTAATAAGAAAACTGTCCAATTTGGCCTGTGTGATTACAGCTGCTTTTAGCTGGACAGGTCAAATCTGACAATTATGCAGCCAATAAAAATCCAGTAGAAAATGCCACTAGCTAATGAAATTGAATTACTTATTCTTACCTTGTGTCTCACATTTTGGCAAAGAAAGTGTCATATGGGACATGTGGAAATGGTCAATAAGACTTACTGTCATACATTTCAGGGGTAATCAGGCTCATTACTTGCCCACTTACTTCCTGAATTTTACTCCACTCAGTGCTATTATCATTACCAATCAATATTTCTCTTTCTCTTGCACAATAGGTGAAGCAATAAAGAAACCAGGCAGCAGGGTGCCGTATCTATGTGGGGGTTTTACAGTAGAAAATCTCCCAGATGGCATTTTCTTTAAGAAACCCTTCCATTATGGCACTAAACAACTCCAGGCCATAATGGAGAAAAAAAGCGAAATTAAATTCGTGATTACCAGTAATGCAAATGTAAACTTGCAAAGCAACAGGGATTTCATTCCCTCTCCAACTCAGCCTGAAACAGTAGTCACTCTTCTGTCCAGGATAGTGGACAGACAATGTGCAGAAAGGGTAGTTAGACTGTCTGACAAGATTACAGAACAAGATGTGGAGGTTGTGGAGTTGAGACTTGACCAGGAAGAGAGACTAAGATTAAATGAATATAGTTTTTATTTTGAAGATGATGCATGGCTTGCTGTTGGTGCTAATATTCATCACTCCACAGAAGCACAAGGGCTGATTGTCCCAGTGTTTACTGAGTCAGAAGATGAGAAATTCTGGCTTTTCTACACTATCCAGAATCCATCAAAACTAGTCAAAGCTTCATTTACGTACAAGATAAAAGGGTATTGGCTTGACTTACAAGGCCAATCCAGCTACAAATTACTGAACAATCATCAGGATTATGTTACTATTGCCAACTTGATCAAAAATGGACCCTATGGACCATTATATTTTTTGCAGGGGATGGAAATTTCAGATGACCAGTATTTTAATATACCTGAAGTATTTAACAATGCAATATTTGCTGCCTTAAGAAGTAGCACTATTATTTAAAATTTAACAATATGTACTTTTCAATTTAATATACCTTTTCTAAGAACCTGTTGGAAAGCCAATTTTATAGCCAGCTGACATACAGAGAATCCTAAATTGTAGTTCTTAAATTGTTACTATTATTAAACTATAGATAATGATTAGCCTAGAAGTTTGTTTGCTAATTTGTTGATCATTTTCAGTGGTCCAAGTGGTGTGTCTACAAATGAATACAAAATCCAGTATAAAGTACTTTTATTACCTATTACAATAGGCTACATGCATGTCATACTTTCTAACAAAGACCACTTGTAGAAGCTTGATTGTACAAAGAAAACCAGAAACATTACATTTTGCCATTTTTGTGTACTAATGATAAGTACTTTTCAGAATATTTGCCAATATTGTGTACTTTTGGTAGGTGGTAATCAAAGCGTCGTCCAACCCAGGTACATCCCTGTAGTGGACAACATCTAATGGGCCTCTTGGTTTTGCTGAAAATATAGGAAAAATGCAATGTGTCAAAATGAGCATGAATTGAAAAAAGTCAAGAATGCTGTGTACAGTAGAGAAAACACTCATCTATGTAACTACAATGAACACAATCCTCTGAAAAACAGAACTGAACAATAAGAAATGTAATAAAATACCTATTTTCCTGATTTCCTTTGGCCTTTCCCTGATTCTTTTCACTCTTTAGCTCCTCAACTTCACTCTTACTCAGCTTATGTGCATGTTTCAAATGGTTGGAAAGATTATTGTATTCTTTCTGGCAAATCTGGAAATAAAATTATAGAAAAATAGATATGTGAATATTTCATTTTAGATCATCATGACTGTTTAGCTTGTTATTGCAAAATGACAGCTAGTTGAGATCATCATTTAGATAGGCCAAGCATCAGCATATGACCTGCAAATATCTCTCTACAAAGAATGATCTATTCATATGTAACATTGTTTTGTGCAAATAACATTCCAGATGCCCATACACAGCTGTGCTCATAAATATTCCAGCAATGCTGCAGATTGTTTCCCAGAGTTTTCAGAGTCATTTGACCCACCCTTATCAGAAAAGAATAGAACATCTAACCAGTATATGCAGAAGTAGAATATTTTTTTCAGTTATTTTAATACCCTGGTGAGTTTTTTAGCCTGGGTTTCCAACATGAAATTTCCCACATGCACTGTAGTCTAGCCTATACTCCACCAACTGTGCCAACTGTACTGGATGGTGGTTGGATAAGGGTGGTGAGATATTATGGGATACAATTCTAAAAAACCATCTTAGGCTGAAAGAGCAAGTGAAAATTAGTCAAAAGAAAATTAAAATAGGCTGGGTTGGAATATAGGAATAATGCTTAACAGGTTTCTAGACGGACATAGTTTGATGCTACTCTGGTTTGCAGATTTAATGAATTTAACCGAAGAAGTTACGATTCATAGACCCAACGTTTCTACACTCCTGTCTAGTGCCTTCATCAGGGGTGATCTAAATGCTGCAACAAGAGGTCCTTTTACATGATCACTAATTAGGTTTCTAAACTTCAGAGATTTAAAATTATTTGTTTGGAAATGTGAAGTCATGGTGCTGGAGAAAATGGCACGCTCTCCACTCAGTGACTTTACATTAGGCCTTTTATGTTTCTTAACATTAAGAAGGGGGTCATGTGAAGGCTAACTAGCTGCAAAGGGGCCAATGATCCAAAAGAAGGGGAAACAGTTATGCAATCATAAAACACATGCAAGAATGCACCAGGATAAAATAATGATAGGACTAATTTATCACAAAATGTCATGATATATTAGTGTCTTGCAGATCAGTTACTCATGCCTTACCCATGCTAGTCTGCCTTTCGCTTTGGTAAATTGATCTGCACATTGTTTTGCTCACCTTTGTCCAATAATTTTAAAAAGTATTTTCTTATCGTATGAACAAATGGGCCAATATCAACATCTTAAAGGTAGTTCTAGATGTCATTCTCACACCACTGTACAGACTCCACCACCTCCAGGGTTTGAATCCTTTTGAGTACCAAGATGGGTGTCTTTTGTTTACATTTATAAATCATAGTGCTACATTCATTCTATATAGGTGTAGATTATATGTAGGAGCCTATTACTTTATGAACCAGATAGTGGAGTTGACCTAAAATTTTATATTTCATGCTTCATACAATGGCAAGCTTAGCTCATCGTCTCTCAGTTAATATAATTGGCATTTTCTCAATGCACCTTTCAACATAAAGCCCAAGAAGAAGAGGGGTGTCTGGCTAGCCATGGAAATTTGACTATGAGGGCAGTCCCCAAGGTAGGTATTTTGATTTTTTGTAATGTCCCCGGGGTGCATGGGGAATTTTGGCACTTCGTTATAAATGACCACACTCACTTGCCCCAGTGTAGGGATTTTGATATTTTTTACCAATTTCTGTGTCCAGACTGGGGTGGCATATTTGAAAATTATTTGGACAGAAAATATCAAAATCCCCAAACCTTGCTTAGCCCCTCCTCCTGACCTCGTCTAGTGCATAACATTGAAAGCTGCATACTCACACTGCAGGGATATTTATAAAGTTTTTTCCTCAGTCGTTTCTTCCGCTGTGGTGGCTTTGGCGGGTTATGATCATTCAAATGACTTAAAATGCTTTCGGCCTCGTTGGACATCTTCATCTTTATCAATTCCATTGACATTCCTGTACGAATTGAGGTTGTCGACTCCACGTTTCGGATCTCATGGAAATGACAAACAAGGTTTTCCATTAAACCGAGAAAGTGGCTTCTTTGCGTTAATCCAATATCCTTTGCCACTTTCTTTTCTTGGCGAATTTGAACAACAAGATCGCTTGGGTCGTATCCGTTTTCAAAATGGAAATACATTTCAAAGGGCGCAAAGAGCAGCGTAAGTTCGTGACCTCGCTCCCTGTGGCTTGTCTGGGGATCTGGTTCCCAGTCCATTGATGTTAGAGGTAAACTGCTCTAGCATTCCTCAGCCTTCGATCCGAATCTTTCAGTTCGGAAATGTAGTTTACAGATATGCCACGCACAACACGTTTTGCGTTTTTTTTTCCAGTTGCAATGGATTAAAAAAAAATGAATCGCAGTGTCTCAGTGTCTCAGTGCGTCACCATCCCGTCTCTTTTTCCTCGCCTCCCCCTTCTCCTGCCTCCCACGTCTCACACCTTAACTTCCCCCCCGACCCTATTTAGACAAAATGTTTCTACGTTTGGTACTTTGATCGACGGAAAAACATGGCTTCTCCTCGATGTAATGGAGAAGTTTCATATTATTATGGCGCAAGGACATCAGCACTCATTGTGCTAATTTCGTTAAAAGAATTTAGAAAAACTTCACATGGTTAGCCAACCCACAGTAAATAGCTGTTATGATATCTTTTGGCAGAAACATGAATTCACCTTCAAAAATAATCTTTAAAAATATCCGTCCGTATACACAATTGTAAACACTGATGAGGAATACGGTAGTTTAATGCTATAACGAAATCATGTGCTAAACCTGACTACTGGACTGTCTAGAAAAGGACAAAAAAAAAGACCTTTAGAACAATTTTAGGAAGAAACTAGTCGATAAAACTATTACTTAACATTAATTTCGTCAGGATAATGATATTTTAAGAAATATTTTAGTATCATCGAGGTTGGACGACGATCGACGTCGCGTGTGACTTGTGGTTCATTTGCTACTTGATGTACAGTGACAGTACAACACAACTTAACGAATAAAGCGAAGATCTAGAGTTAGCAATTGAATGCGTTAAACCACTGCGCAATATGCAGGACACTTTTGCAGAGTAGCACTGACTGCCTGTTTACCATTTCAACAACACAATCCGTTAAATCGCCTGAAATAATTACAACTTATAACTTTTTCTCAGTAATTCCGGCACGTGCTAATTCCGTTACGGGTGTGTCAATTTCGTTATGGCCTCACGAAGGACGTATACTGATATATTTTACTTGATATCATACAAAACAGAAATTTGAAATTATGTGGCTCATATTCACTATTTCATGGATGCCACCAAGATATGTATTGCCTAAACACTTTCAAGACAGATTTGTTAGGAGCATGTATATATATATGCTCAGTTAATGTGACTGCGTTCATAAGAGGCACTGTATAGTAAGGTTACACAATGAGATCCATTGCCATCTAAGAATGAAATGTGGTACATGGGTATATCTGCATGGCCATTTTTGTTGGACGGGTGATGGTTAAGCATGCAACGCTCAAAAAGCGTCACCTCAGTTCAGTAAGAATGGTCCGAATTGACAATGTACAGAAGAACAACGACCAAATTCAGTATTTGGCTTATCAACTAGAGTATTCAAACCTGAGTTATAAAGTGCCTTATATATGCGATAATTATGATACGGAGTTTATAAAGATATTCGAGGCACCCACCCCATACTTGCTAATATCTATTTATCTATCATTCCTTTTGGTACAGATGGACAAAGATGACTAATGTTTTTGTTCGACAATGGTGGACCTCTCAAAATTGATAACGGTGACTCATGGTCCGACATCTGTTCCACGCCTACAATTGTACCTCCAGTGAACTCCAATCCATACAAACATGATTTT